AAAAGACTATAGAAGTCCTGTTGTGAAATTATGGCTAACTGAGAAAAGAAAAATAAAATTAACTAACAGAAAAAAAAATAAATAAATAAAATAAATAAAGTATTATAAATAAGAAAAACAATATAGTTTTAATTAAGAATAAAAAAGAATCATAGTTAGATAAAGGAAAAAAATTCTAAAAGAAGCAAGAAATAAAGTTACAAATTAAATAAAAAAAAAAGTATAAGAAATAGTTAAAATTTAAAAACAAATAATTAAACTTTCTTGATACAGACTAGAAGTAGTCTTTTTTTGATCAAAACAAGAATAGCATATACTGATATATATTTTGTTTTGAGATAAAAATTGCTGCTATAGCAGATTGTATTTGAAAACTAAATAGATAGCTAAGTAAGTTCAGAATTACAAAAAAGAGAGCAGTTTTAAAATTAGAATAGTTTTAATTTTCTATATTTGTCTTATTACTAAATTTATATTTTTTTTAATAAAATAAAAGACAAGATTATCTAAGTAAAAAAATAAAATAAAATAAAGCTTTTAATATAGTAAATTTTTTGAAAAATTTTTATTAATAGAATGGATTACTTTACTATAAAGAAAGTAATTTGTATTTGTTAGTTAAATTTTTTAATTTCTAAACAACTTTTTTAAAAATAATTACTTTTTATAAAATAAATTATTTTAATTAATATTATACTATTTATTCTAATTATATATAAAATTCAAGTTATTGCTATTATCATAATTCTTAAAATATCTAATAATTTTTTTGCTATTCAAAATATTCTTAATTTTATCTATTAAATTATCTAATTTTTTAGAAACTATATTACTGTCTTCAGATCTCTAATCTAAAAATAATGATACAGTTTCTAAAAAGTTAGATAATTTACTAAACAAGACTAAGAATATTCTAAGAATATTTTAGATAGCAGAAAAATTATCAAATATTCTAAGAATTATAATAATAATAGTAATAAATATACTTATTTTTTTTATATATAATATAATATATTAACTAAATAAGAAAAAAGTGTAAGTTAAAGCTCTATTTATATAAGAGTATAGTTTATAGTTTATCTAACTTAATTTCTAAAAAGATTTTAAGAATTGATTTGAATATTTTATATTCGAATCTAAATATGTTCATAAACTTTAAACCAAATCTGAACTAAACTTATTACTATATTTGAGTCTAGTTCAGATTTGAGAATTATAAGTTTGAGTTTAGATTCAGGTTTGAATTTAGTAAAATTTGCTATTCAAGTTTAGTTTAGATTTGAATTCAACTCAAACTAAACTAAATTCAAACTGAATATAAGAACTCTATTTATAAAACTTATTTATTCTAACTTAGAATATTACTACTAAAAAGCTTTGTTAAACAAAAATATTTGTTGCTATCTAATTATTTATTATTTTTTTTTGTTTTTTTTAGAGAAATAAACTTTTTTGTTTTTTATAAATTGCTTTTTCATATGAAAATTTTTTGTTAGTTTGGTTTTCTTGTTTCTGTAAACTTCTATAGCAGAAATTTTATATTTTCTAAAAATAAGAAAAAAAGTTTCTATTCTATTACTGTTTTTAAGCTTAATAAAGTTCTATATAATATTTATCTTATTATTATTAAAATATTTTCTGTTCTAATTGCAGATTGTTAAAAAAAAAGATCATCAATTTTTTTTTATCTTATTAATTTAAAAATTTATTATATATAAAGTTAGTTTTCTTTCAATACAACTTCTCTTCAAATACAAGATATTTTTCTAGTCTAAAGCTTTGTATTTAAAGAGAATTGATTGTAGTTTACACTTCAGATTTTTTTAATAAAAATTACAACTCACTAGATCAGTTTTTTTAACTTCCAACTAATTAAACTTTTGTATCTAATTAATTGATTTAGATATTTGAAAATATTGTAAATCTACTGTTGCATATTGATACATATTGGCTCATATGCTATTCAATAATATGATTAGCTAAAAAAAAATAGATCATAATAGTCATTTAAGTCAAAAAAACCAACCATCTTTTTTTATCATAGAGTTACTCTGATTGGCTAAAATTTGAAATCTGCATTTCATAAAGATCACGCAACATTTCGATCACTAGTAAATCACATTGGGAAGCTGCTAGAGATGCAAAATGGCTCAACGGTTCGGCTAACGGCTTTTATGTTGCTTAGCTGGCAGAGTTTGTTTTCAAAGTCTAATCTCTTTCCTAAAAAAAGACAATCCCGCTGTCACACAAGCCGAGCTGTTTGTAGCCAAGCCGTTTTATAGCCGAATAACTACTGCTAAGTGCGGCTAACTTTATTTCATTATTCCTGGTACACCTGATTAAAAATTGGACTCTCCGATATAATAGGTTTTTGATCTCAGCATGATTAGTAGATAATATACTGTATACGTCATGAAATATTACAAATTTTTATTGATTTGAATTTTGATCAACTTTACGCGGTTCACGTCACACAAAACCGAGCAGCTAGTGAGCTGAACCGTTAGTTAGCCGAGCAGTTAATAGTTCGGCTTAGCCGATAAGCTAAGCCGAGCCGTTTTGCATCTCTAGGAGCTGCTTGAGAACAACCTAAGAAGTCGAATGCAAAGACAAACATGAAGGGATATAAAGCCAATGAGATCAAAGTAACAAAGAAAAAGTGGCACAATAAGATAATCTATTTTATTAAAATAAATTAGGCCATATCGAATGTACTGTATGGACACGTTTAAAAGAGAAAGCCAACGTCAAAGATAATCAGAGATCAAGAGAAAATAAAGCCAAGTTGAAGGTAAACATTGATAAAGCCGGCTCGAAGATAAAGAAAGTCGAACTTAAAGAATGGCACGTAAAGGTTAAAGCCGATCGTGTTCTGACCTAACATTCTCGTATTTCAAATGTATTTCGCCAAACCTTTGAAGTTTTTCATTGATTAAAATGATGATCTTGCGTCAGATTATAGCTTACGCACTTGGAAATCAGTATCTGAAGAGTCTGAGCATCCATGGATTGGCACGCATGGGCCGGACTTGGTCTCAATATTTGAATCTACGTGAAATTGAACCGGATCCAAAAGCCCATGGATAAGTCCATATTTAATCTGATTGGTTAAAATTATATATGTCATCATAACTATCCTTATCATGACGTCAATTACGAATCCAAACTAAATTTAGTTTACCAGTTTCGGTTTGTACATTTGGACTCATAGGGTCTGGACTTCGAAATATCAAGCCAAGCAGAACCCTAACATCTGAAGCAAAATAATATATACGGGTTAATAATTTTAATTAATGGCTTGAAAAAATTCCGTTATTTTTGCTATCGAATCCGTTTATAACCGTTTGAATTATCTATCGTTATCAAAAAAACTTGGTGCCTCATATTCACCAATTAGACTAGTTAATCGGTGTCCATTATAAAGTTTTGATAAATACTGTACACAAAATTATCCGTCTATAGCCTAATATGATAACCTGTGCACATTCTAAATAAAAACAAATGGAATATCCGTATAAAATCATTTTTTGTAAATATTGGCTTGGCAAACTTGGACAACCTGACAAGGTAGCAAAAAGTACGAGCTGTAATGAAAAATCAAATTAACAATACATATGATTACGTATTAAGTATAACTTCTAAAATGGTAATTATTATAATTATCTTTTATTAATTTAATTATTAATTCTGTTTCAAATAAAATCGGGATATCATATTTTTTAAGAATTGCAAATACTGTCAGTTACTATAAATAATTCAAGGTTATATATACATACTGTACGTCATGCATACCATGAATGTCAAAAAAATAGTAAAGATTATATGGTGTGAAACATTTATGCACTTACCATAATTTCGCTCATAGAAAAACTTTAAATGTGTAAATAATGAGGTTTATTTTTAGTTACTACGTAAAAAAAGAATTATGATACCAAACAAACTAACTTTTTTTGTTTGTAGCTATTATTAATGTTAACGTTAACTTTTGGCTGCCAAATAGGAAAATAAATGATTTGTAAACATATGACGATATGGATTTATGAATATATCAATCACGTTGTTTGTCCAATCTACTACGTAAAAATTTTCTTGTGATCAAAAAAAGGGACATAATGACTAATAACAATCAAATCGGAATGTTATACGTACACATAGATTGCTATTTAAATGCTTACTAATAGTTACTTTTCTTTGATGCATAATGTCCGAATTTGATTGTTATATTTCGTTCGAATATAGTATTTATCGATTATATAATGACATATTGGTCTCAGTGAGATGGGGATAGAATCGAATGGTGCCAAGATCGTTCAATTCTAAGTTTATTGAGAAAAGCAAGAAGGGAACAATATCATAATCACACTTAAATTGTTGGTGTTAAAAAATAAAACTTTTGGCTGCCAAATGAATGGGCGAAGTGGGAAATAAATGGTAATACTGTACACGAAGTCATAATGAAAATGATTGGTAAACTTTAAGATTATTTGTAAATACCAAATATTTACAATTATTTAACGTTAATGTAAGGTATGCATATGATGATAAGGACTTGTGAATGGTACTAGGATCATTTCGATTCTATTTGTTTCGATGAGAAGTGGAACATGTGACGTCGTCTATTCGCCACATTACCCTCCTTCACCATAATACCTTATGAGATATATATTATATTGTTTCAATAAATGATTATTAATAAAAATTTTGAGATATTAATTGACCAGAGTTTGGGATTTGGGAGTGACAAATTAGTATTGAATTTGACCAGCAAGCGTAGTTTTAACATGGACTTTTTACAAAAAAAAAAAAAAACGTAAATGAACAAGATCAGTTCGTATAGATTCTAGAGTTCTAGTTAGTTTTACTTCTACTTTTCCAAGCGTATAATATTTAATTAATATATATGCAATAAAGTTACTTGAAAGATACACATTGTATGAAAAAGATTATTAATTTACACGCAAAATAAATTCATATCTAGAATAGTTAACGATATATTTTTTTTATAACTCAAAGGTCTCACAATGAACTTTGATTAAACAAGTTCTATCACTTTCTACTATAGCAGCTTTTCTCACTTCTTTTAACATTGAAGCTGGCCCACATACTCCTACTGCAATATCACCAGAACCATGATATTGCTTTATTTCTTGGAACAACATCGAAACGTCAGGTCGACCTTGGAAAAATACTGATGATGGTGTTGTAGTCGATCTTGTAAGGAATACCTTAATATCAAGTAGATATTTGGATTTTGGTAATCTATTAAACTTTTCTGTTATCTCATTTAGCTCGTTTCCAAAACATGAATAAGTGTCTAAATATTAAAAAGAATAAAGTATTATTAATTGATAAAATGTCAAGGATCTCGTGTAAAAAAAAAAAAAAAAACAAACTTACTGGTATCAGGCACTGTCCAAATGAAATAAATGGACTGAGTCGTAATTGGCATTTTTGAAGTTTGACGATCTACTAAATCTCGTAAGATACTAATCATTGGTGTAATACCAATACCACCAGATACCAATACAACAGTTCGGTACTGTGCAAAGTTAAGACTTGGTTTTCCGTATGGACCATCAACTTTCATTTTCAAACCCATATCATATCCACCTTCCTGTGATTTAGCATATAGTCTACGTGTGAATGAACCTTGAATTTTCATATGTATACTATCATTATTTGCTTCCTCAATTCCAGGTGCTGAAGAAAAAGATACAGGATGCCATGCAATTAGAGATACTGGTGGGCTGAGGCTTGGAATGTTGATAAACATGTATTGTCCAGCTTCATAATAAGATTTGAAATTAAACATTACACGAGTAACACCGCCAGTAAGTGATTCAGTCGATATCACATTAACAGGTTTAAATCCATGAATGAATCGAATTACACGATCGATGAGATAAAGAGTAAAACCATATACGGTGAAAACGACGTATTGTGGTTGATGAAGGCAACCAAAAATGAAAAAGAAGATGAAAAAAAAATGAGACCAATAAAATATTTCGAAGAAATAGCGACGAAATAGTGAATGGGACATTATCATTATTATGAATAGGGATGTATAGGCAAGGGAACCATATAGTAAAATTGGGCTGGAAAATACTGAATTAAGAGAGCCAGCCAACTGAAGTTGGTATGAAGCATGAAAAGAAAGAAGGAAAAAGATCGTTCTTCCAACCCAACGATGAAACCTGATCATACGTTCAAAAGGAACACCAATAAGTTTCAAAAAGACGGAGTTTCTAGTAGCCAAAGGATATATAAAAGCGGCATTTCCCAGACCAACGTAAGCGGCACGAATATTTAGAGTTGAAGGAACTGATGCATTTATAGGTATCGCCAAAAAAATGATGTTTATAGATATGTAGGTGAGAAAGATAATTATTTCACCGATCGTCATATCACCAATACCAAAGATATGAATAACGTAATTCCATAGTTTATAAGCATATACGGTTGGGGAAAAATGAATATTATCCTTGGAAGCAAGATTAACCGTAGATTGACTATTTCCGTGAGTATAAATATCTTGTTCATATTTATTTCTTCGTTGTGGTAAATCAGGTAGGCTCGGTAATTTTGAATGTGAAAAGTATCGCTGAATTTGTTTAAATTGATATACTATCGAGATAACTATAATAATAGCGACAAAGGTTAAAGCTTCATAATAACCAGCAGCAAAATCTGCTTCGTCTGTATAACTGTTCGTACTGCTCATTTTTTTTTTTTTTTTTTTTTTGTCTTCTCAGATACGATTGTAAATACTGTAAGAACAGAGCACTGGTTAGTTTTTTTTTTGTTTTTTTTTTTTTTCTGAAAATTAAAGTATAATTAGGAAAGGAGACCAGCTCTCAAATTATAAAAACTAGAAAGCTTACGAAGAAACTCAACCAGTGAGATTTCTTAAGTTCGTAAAAAATTACTAGAGAAGAGGCAAAATGAAAAAAAATACATAAAATACTTGCATTTATTTAATGAATAGCAACGAATTATTGTACACCAGCAACAATCCGTGGTTTTACATGTATTGCAAACAAGGGAAATAAAGCGATCTTCAATTTCGTTTCAGATACATGAATTTTTTATTTACAATTTAAGATAACCTATTACACTTAAAGAGTTACCGGTAAAAAGAAAATGAGTTTATATTAGTAATTTTCTGATAGTCAATTACTGTTAATTATATTATAAAATATAATATAAAAATATTTATATAATATTTATATTATTTTCATATATAATATATAATATATGAACACCTTTATATATTTTTAATTCCCAATCAAATAGCGATAGACCAAAAGTTCTTCTTGTTATCAAAGAAATTTGTAGATTTTATAGAAAAAGTTTTTAAATAAAACACTTTTTCTATACATAAAGAAAATAAGAATAATCGCACCATTTAAAAAATGTGCCCTTTTTTTTTTGTGTTTTCGAATGAGGCTTATACAATTGATTTGCACGGTTATTGATTGATTCGAATAATATAAAATATCATAATCAGTAGTATCATTTAGAGACAATTTATCATAAGCGGGAAATATCCGGTTCTTCGCTAAGCTTACTAACTTTGGATAAAATTTAACCTAATCGATCATTTAATGTTTGGTTATTTTACAAGAATATACAAGCCGAGGGAAAAGTTATCGTTATAGAAATTTAGTAATTTCTTAATCTGCTTCCTGATATCATCAAGTCAGCATGACAGATCATTCTGTTAAGATTTTTAAAGATTAGGGGGACCAATACGAAAATCAATACAGATTTATTTACAACATTCTAACCCTTTAATAAAGGAGTATATAACGTTTTACACTTTTTATTTTACTGTTATGCCGATATTGTTTCACTCTTTGTTATCTATTTCATATTTAGCGATTATTACCATTTCTGGTTTACCCTGTCGTTACATAAATTTGTTCATACACAGCCTAAGCACTTTACCTATCTTTTTCACTTTTTTGCTCTTAAGATTTTGAGAACTTATAGCGCGTGACGAAAGAAAGAAAAAAAAAGCCTTTTTTTTTTTTTGACGAAATACTTTTCCTTTCCCGTTAAATAACTCTTTTGAATCGCTGGCGATTTTTTTTTTTTCCTGCATAAAAAAAAAAACTTGAAAACTTATTTATTAAGATATATTATTTGTTAAAAAACAAGCAAAATGACCAAACTATTTGCAAACATCTTTTTCTTTCTTCTCGTCATATCCATACCATTCTACGTGTCAGCTTATCCGACCGGAGCTGGTACATGCGATGTTGCATTAATGACTACTCAAGGTCATGGACCATCTCAAACGTCAGGTTTCGGTGGTTATAGTCTCTCTACCACTAAGTCAGGGCAACAATTTAGTTTAACGATTCAGGGTACATCACCAATTAAGGGTGTTCTTCTCTACGTTCAAGATTCATCTGGTAAGAAAATGGGAACATTTACATTTCCCAGTAACTACCAAGCATGTTCAGGTTCCGGATCAGCTGCGTTGACGCATACAAGCAGTAATATGAAAAGTATGCCACTTTCATTCACTTGGACACCGCCTTCTGGGAATCCTTCCGGAAATATGACCGTTAGGGGTATTGTTGTCCAAAGCTATCAAAATTGGCATCCACTACCGGATATGAATTTCGATTTGGCAAGCGGTGTTTCTAGTGTCAGTAATAATACCAACCTTAATAATGATGGATCTGGTTCTTCTTCAGGTTCTGGAGGAATAGGAAATTGGTTTAAAACTTATTCATTATTTATCATTTTGATGGTTATTACTATCATATTATATGTGGTTGGTAGTGTTACTGAAGCTATGTTAAAAAATCAACGTACTAAAGCAAAATATAATAGATAACCTTATTACTCTATACTATGCCAATTATTATAATGGATAACTCATCAATTTTCTTAATACCTTTTGTTTCTATAAACGTGATTTAAAAAAGATCTGTAATAATTTTCTTTTTTTGAACTCTATTAATAAATGTGTATAATTATGGTACAATAATTATGTTTTATATACACTTGCACGTGTTTTCTGATTATTTATGTGCATGCATAGCTGTCAAATTGTTCTAATAAAAGATTACACGTACCAAATATTGATATCAAATTCCGACTGAAAATATATAAAGAAATTCATCTGCACAGATTTGAACAATTAAAGACCAAATTATAATTAAAAAATAATTATGTATAAGTTAGATTATTATGAAATTTCTTAATTTAAACTTTTAACGTTAATGGCAAATATGTTATATGGGGACCCCACAGCAAAAGGAGCATTGGGACATTTTAAATTTCAGTCTTTAAATGAGCCAGTGATTAGAATTAAATAATTTTTATATCATTCAATTCACCTCAATGAGATGAATTAAATGATATAAAAATTATTTAATTCTAATCACTAGATCACAAGATATATACTCATTTAAAGACCGAAATTTAAAATGGTCTAATGCCCCCCTTTTGCTGTGAGAGGTTCCCACATGTCCTTTTTTTTTTTATAAATTTAATTTAACTACAAAATTTCCTTTATGATTAGCGTTACGTAGCTCGAGTTATGCTAAAGTATACTTCTATAACGTTTTTTCCAAGCAGCTTTTAAAATTAGTATTGTAAAAGGTCCGAAATTTGTCCAAAATAAGCAAATTATTTAAGAGTTGCTTAACGTTAATAGCTGATAGTTTTACTGTATTATTTTAATGATTGTAAGTACTGTATCCTTTACCATACTTGAATATTTAATAATAATTATGTTTGTATTGTCTCTTGATCTGTTATATACTTATTAACCTAAACACATCTTAAAAAAATATTAAAAAATAGTAAACCGGTTAGATAAATGCATTTGGCGTACATATATTGTATTTATTTTTTTTTTTTTCTACCAGTCTACCGGGTTAGATTGATTTTATTTGCTTACCTTTTTAATGTCTTCCTGATCGATCAATAAAAGTTAAAAAAAATTATGTAACTTATAACGCGATTTCCCAAATTATGTAAAAAAAGAATATTCTTATCAAGTGGCGTATTATTAACATAGCTCATCATATTGTCTTATTGTTGTTTTCCTACGAGATGCTAAAAAACCATTATCACAAACTTGTATATGAAATAAATCTCATATCTGGACGATCAAAAAATTCTAGCCAATATTTTTCTGATCCGATTCTCCTTCATTACGTGTGGGGGATTATAAATCCTACCCCTAACCCTAAAAAAAAATCCTAACTAAATGCATTCCAAAAAGTAATTTCAAAAATAGAATTTGGCCGATCACGTGTTTTGAGATCGGCAAAAAAGTTACAAAACGATTATTAGATCTATAAATTGCTTCTAGAATAAAATTTGTAAAACATTTGTACAAAAATCTATTTTTAAATTATAGCGTCTTTTAATTGTTATATCTCAAATTTATTTATTTGTTTATTTATTACATTTGAATTATGATTTACTATAGGTGTGCGAGATATAAGTGTATAGCATAGTGCAATATATATAGTGATTTGAATTGGTTGAGTTATAATTAATTAACTCAAATTAAATAAATTTCAAGTAATCAGTTAAGTAAATTCTTAATTAGTTAATCTGTATAACTAGTTGAGTATTGATAATTAGTTAATAGGATGTAAATAATATCAAGAAGAAATAAAGAGTCTAAGAACTTCTAAAAGAAAATAAATGAATATAAAATTTTAAATAAAAGTTTGAAAACTTTTGAAAGTAAAGTGTGAAGTAATTTTAATCAGTTATAATTAGTTGATATTAAATATTTTGTTTTAGTTACTTGACTAAGAACTAAATATATATATTTATTTTTTATTATTTGTTTTTTATTTTAAAAGTAAATATTTTGTAATAATAATTTTTTATTAATATTATATTATCTTTTAATTTATAGAGTAAACAAATTTGCTTATTAACTTTTTTAATATTTTTATAATTAGATAAAAATTTTAAATATTAATTTTAACAATATATTTACTAATTAAAAAATAGTTTTAAATATCTGTTTTTAACTTTATTAAGAAACTTTTTTAAATTTATTAGAAATTTTTAAAGTAATAAAACTTTAAAGTTTTGTTTTAAAAGATCTAGTGATCTTAGTATAGTAGTTAGTTGCCAGACTGCTATGGGGTTCAAATCCTACTATCAACAAATTTGAATAATTACTCAGATCTTTGTACCCAACTTATGGTAAACACTGTTTGTTTCTAGAGTTATAACTCTATAAATTACATTGCACCAATATTATCTAAATATTGGAAGTATGATAAGGCATTTGAAGAGATGTAATATTACATAAATAAATCTTAATAGAATCTACAAGCAGAGGACCTGCATGGTAGAAATCCTGAGTTGGTGAAATAATACAGCTTTTGATAGTTATATTAGCTAATACTTGATCCAAAAAGGAAACTATTATCAAAAAATACAGATTGAGTTAGGTATATATAAATCTGTTCTACAGAGAGGATCAGTAATACTAACTTGACTTAGTAGCTAACTGAATTAGGAGAATTTGCTTTGTAAAACATCTGAAAAGATAAAATACAGAAAACTAGTAGAGAGCTATAGTAGAAACTGGGGTTATATAAATATCTACAAAGGTCTAAACTAGGTAAATTTATAAAATAGATATAGACTACTCTAGTAGGTATACTTCAAGGTTAACTAGCTTTGCAATACCTACAATACATTAGGTACAATATATTCTGAGAGGATCTAAGTCATTCTGAATAAATAGATCTGTAACAAGCTAGTTAGCTTAAGTAGTTAGATATTGTAATGATGTTAGGTTAGATCTGTATAGATTAATAAACAGAGTGTTTAAATAGATAACTCACAAGCAGGTTACAGGTATAGCAGTATAGTGTAAAACTAATCAAGTAGTCTAATTGCCTATGTAGCAGACTACTTAAAATAGATAATGACTAAAGTTATATATATAGCTTGTTATATACTCTTCATATAATTACAAACAGTAGGGACTATCAATATATATCCTATATACAATTCTAATAAAATTTCTTTAGTAATGTAAGCTATCTTAATAACAAAAAAAAAAAAAAGTTTTGTTTTAAAAATTTTTACTATAAAATTTTTAGTTTAGAATTTTTTTAAATTTTATATATTTCTAAAGTTAAAAAAATTTTTTACTTTTAATACAAATTTAAATTTTTATAAATATATTACAAAAGTTGTAATAATTAAAGTTATAATCTTTTATAAGTTTTATCAAATTGTTTTAAAAATTATATTTTTAAAATTTAAATTAAAAAAATTTATTTAAAAATACTGATAAAATATTTGAATAAAAATTTTTTAAGTTAGCTATTTTTAGTTTATATATAATATAAAAATTTTTTTTATAATATAAAAATAAAGATATTATTTTATAGTAATCTATAATCTACTAATTAAAATTGATTATATATCTAAGAAAAAAAATCTTATTATTATATAATACAAAATATTTTTTTTAAAAAAAAATTATTAGTATATAATAATATAATCTTTTTTTAAAAAAATTTTATTATAAGGTCTAGCGATCTTAGTGTAGTAGTTAGGTTACCAGACCGCTATGCAAGAGGTCTGGGGTTCAAATCCTACTATTGACAAATTTAAATAATTACCCAGACCTTTGTACCTAACTTATGGTAAACTCTGCCTGTTTCTGAGGTTGTAACCCTATAAATCATATTGCATTAATATCATCCGAATATTGGAAGTGTGACGAGGCATTTGGCGAGACATAACGTTATACAAATAAATCTTAATAGGATCTATGGGCAGAGGACCTGCATAGTAGAAATCCTGAGTTGGTAAAATAGTATAGCCTTTGACAGTCACACTAGCTAACGCTTGATCCAGAAAGAAAACTATCAACAAAAGATGTAGATTGAGTTAGGTACGCATAAATCTGTTCTACAGGGAGAATTAGTAATACCAACTTGGCTTGGTGGCTAACTGGATTGGGAGAATCTGCCTCGTGAAACATTCAAGAAGATAGATACAAAAAACTAGTGGAGAGCCATAGTAGGAACTGGGATTGTACGAACATTTACAAGAGTCTAAGCTAGGTGAATTCGTAAAATAGGTATAGACTACTCTAGTAGGTATGCTTCAAGGTTAACTAGCTCTACGATATCTATAATATGTTAGGTACAATGTATTTTGAGAGGATCTAAGCTGTTCTGAATAAATAGATCTATAACGAGCTAGTTGGCTTAAACGGTTAGGTGTTGCAGTGACATTAGATTGGATCTGTATGGGTTAATGAACAGAGTATTTAAATAGGTAACTCACAGGTGGGTTACAGGTATGGCAGCATAGTATAGAACCAATCGGGTAGTCTAATCACCTGTGTGGTAGACTACTTAAATTAGACAATGCTATACACTTATATCTCGCACACCTATAGTAAATCATAATTCAAATGTAATAAATAAACAAATAAATAAATTTG